GTTTGAATTTTGGTATTGGCAATGAATATTGAATATACCATGGACTGCCAGAAAAACAAACTAATCTGTTTTGGGAGAAATACGGCCAGAATGTTCCTTAGAATTGAAAATGGCTAGACTTCATTTCATGTGCTTTGGACATGTTGTCTAATGGAACCAGTCTCTGGAGAAGGACATCATGCTTAGTCAAATAGAGGGTCAGTGAAAAAGAGGAAGACCCTCAGCAAGATGAACAGACAGTGACTGCAATACAGCAATGACTATGAAAATGGTGCAGGACCAGGCAGTGTTTCATTCATTCTGTTGTCGTTATGCATCAGTACTGACTTGATGGTATCCAACAAGACACAAGTACTTGGAACAATGTTGTACTGATGCAAAGATGGACAAATAGACCAACAGAACAGAACAGAATCCTGAAACATATAAGAGCTCCTGGTTTATAGTAAACATGACTATATTATTTAATAACTGAAAAAATTAATCAATTGGATAGCCATATTAAGAAAAAATGAATCTTGACCACTACCTCAAACAATATACCCAATTAATCCAAGATGGAATATAGCTTTAAAATGCCAAAAATCTTAGTTATTTTTTTTAAAAGAGAAAAATATTATCATAACAAGGAAAGATTTCTTAAACAGGGCATGAAAAGCATTAGCAATAAAGGAAGAAAACTGATAAATTGGACCAATAGGTCACTAGTGTTGGACCCGATGGGGGTGGCATGTTTGTGACTCTGGGTCAGAAATAGATTTACTGGGAAGCTAGTGAAGCTTAAGTCTTAGTGCCCCTCCTTTTCACCCCTCAAGGCCTGAAAATTGTACAAATCTTGATGGGGGTTTTCCCTTGTTGTCTATCTGTCAAGTTAGCCCCTCCACTCACTGAGATCCCATGTACAATGGAAAGAAACAATGCCTGGTTCTATGTCATCCCCATGAGTAGTTGTGGGTCAGATCACTGTGATCCATAGAATTTTCAGTGACTGATTTTCTAAAGTAGATCACCAGGTCTTTCTTCCTAGGCTGTTTTAATCAGGAAGATCCACTGAAACCTAACTAACATAGTAGTAACAAACATGCAAGCTTTCAATGACAGGTGCATTGACTACAAATCGGGACCCCAGTCTTCACTAGGGAAGACAACTATTGAACCACCAATGTCCACAAATTTTAGACTTCATAAATATTGCTTCCACCCCTGGGTATGCTGACTGCAACCTTTTTACTGCCCCATGGCACACTGTGCCCCTGAGCCCAGGAACAGCCTCAGAATCCTGTGCACTCTGTGTTTCCAGAAGCCACTACTAGCTAAGCAGAGCTAGCACAAACTGAAATCCATCGATCATCCTTGCAATTCCTCATGTAGCAAGTTAGGATTGATCCAGTGACTGGGGACTGTCTGCAGGTATGGGTTAAGTGGTTTGGAAAGAAGATAGCTATGGCATGGGGAAAAATGGGGAGTGAGACAGTATCTGACCCCCAGAATTCTAGAAATGCTTGTCTTGGCTGTGACAAAACACTCATCTATAAAACTGTGTACCATTTATACCTAATCAATTATACTGACGGCATTGGTGAAAAACTAGGCTCTAGGAACTGAGTACCAGTTGAGATGTTTCAACAAATGTAAGCAATGCTGACAGTGCTCACTTGTCTAAGCCAAGGAATTTGAAAACAGCTTGGTCAAATAGAGGGTCAGTGAAAAGAAGATCCTCAATAAAATAGATTGGCACAGTAGCTGCAACAATGGACTTAAACACAGCAACAAATGTGAAGGTAGTGCATTGCTGAAGTTTTGCGTTCTGTTGTGCATGGCAGTAGTGACCAGTATTGACTCAACACGGAGGAGAATAACAATTATGGTGTGACACTGCTGGTTAATATGCTAGACTGCAAGGTAGAGTTGAACCACAAGGTCGGTGGTTCAAACTCACCAGGTGCTCCTTAGAAACCCTTGACAGGATCACTATGATTTGGAACCGACTGGACGGCACTTAAAAAATAACAACAGCACTGTAATACATAGGATTAGCACTGGACTGCTAATTGTAAGGTCAGCAGTTCATATCCACCGGTCACTCCTCAGAAACCCTATGCAGGGTCTCTGATGCAGAACCGACTTGGTGGCACTTAACAACATTAGTATTAAGGCATATGTACAATTAACATTGATAACAACTCAGGTTAGGTGTGAGTCCTCTTCATAGTCATGTTCACTTAGTGTGGTAATACAATCTAAACTTTAAAACTCAGAGAGGATATTGCTTTTGAACTACAGTAAGTAAGCTGTTTTACTACGGTGTCTCAGTTCCCACGCAGTACTGGAAATGATTCATTTTCTTGTTAACTTGTGCTATATATACTGCAGAAAAATGAGTTGGCATTTCTAAGAATACCTGATTGAAAAGAACAGAAGTTTTTCTTTCCCTTCCTGTCATTTGAAACTTAAATCATAGACACAGCGTAATGTGTAAGAAGCTAAAATATGCAGTCCTCCTCAGAATCAGTTAGCACAGAAGGTTTTGGTTTTTTCAGGATATCAAATCGTTTCTCTAACTCTGAAAACATTATCTTAACAAAAATACAACAATGGCTAAGTTTCCTTCATCAAGCCAACTAACAAAGAAATATTAAATACCTGAATACCTGAAAGTCTTATTTAAAACTTGGTCTTTGTTTGTTTGTTTGTTTGATCCTTTGATAGAAAACTGGCTAGATGAAAAGGAAATTCAGAACAAGTTTTCATTGTCAATTGCAGTAAGTCAGTTTGGGCTCATAGCAACCCTGTATAAAGTTTCCAAGGAGTGGCTGGCTAGTAGGTTTGAACCGCCAGAGTTGTGTTTAGTAGTCCAGTACTTATACTGCAGCACTACATCAAGACTCCAAGTTACCACCCAAAAAATGTTATAGTCTCACAACTCTAGAAACATCTGGAATGGTGATGAGGAGCAGGTGGAAGAATGGTGATGCATTTTAAAAAATGTATTCATAAAAAGATTCACAGATACATAATTTACGTCTGAAAGTGTTTCTTGTCTGGAAATTGAAATTATGGATGAATCAATGGTAAGGGCTTTTGAGAGAAGGGGTTGGTTGATTTATGTCTTGAGCACAACTGAATTACCAGAGTGAAACTGGGTTTTTTGCTCAACTAAGAATAGTCTTATTTGCTTCAACTCCTCAGAACACCTGCCCTCTCTAGAATGGAGGCAATGAACAGGAAATAAGCAGGAGACATCAGAACAACAAAAATAGATTTTACAAAATACAGTCACTAAATCTGATGCAACTTATTCAAAAGAAATACACCCTCACTCCCTGTTAGACTCTCTTATAATTATTTTCATTGTAGTCAAGCAAACCTAATGGTTGATTGCCCGGCCCAGAGAATATTAGAAAAAGCAAAGAAGAAGACCAGGATAGGAGGGGCATTGCTAAAGCTAGGCACATTAGCAATCTCAAAAAGGGAGTGTTAAGGAACCAACAAGAGTTTCTGAATGGTGAAATGGTTAATGTATTCAGCTGTTAACCGAAAGGTTAGAAGTTCAAGTCCACCCACCTCCGAAAAAAACACCTGCTTATCTATTTCCAAAACATCAGTCTGGAATACAATTCTGCTCTGACTCACATGAGGTCCCATGAATGAGAGTCGAGTTAATGACAAATGACAATGATCCAACATGAAGAGAAGACAAGAGATAAATGGGGGAAAATTTTAGCAGAAGGCAGTTGCTAACAGTCAGGGTGACCCGGGAAACCTCAATTAAATATTTCAATGCCTCAGTTCAACTGACTCTCTGAATGACTGTGTGGAGCAGATGACCACCACCTCTACTTACTACCTGTACTGCCACCCACAACCACCATCACCACTACCCACCAACTTCAAAATTACATTACCACCCATTACTTCTACCAACACCACCACTCACCACCTCCTCCATCATCTCCATCTAACCTACCACCTCTACATTACATCCACTACCATCCCTACCCCCATTACCCCAACCACCACCTTTACCTTCTCTACTACTTCCAACTAATCTACCACCACCTCCACCATCTCTTCTACTACCACCACCTCCACCAACGCCACTAGCTTCACCAAGTATATCACATCCAACATCATCACCACCACCTCCTTTATGATCTTTACCTCTTTCCTCTACCACCACCACCTCTATCGCTCTCTCCACCATAATCCCAACACCTTCACACTGACATCTTCACCAGCAGCTCCACCATAACAACCATGAGCTCCACCACCTCAACCCCTTAAAACCACCTCCATCACCACTACCAAAACCACCAGCACCTTCCCCTCTGTCACCTTCACCAGTTCCACAACACCTCCACAACTACCACCTGCACCACATCCACAACACCACCATGTGTATAGCAATCACTACCAACGCTACCATCTCCACTGCTAACATCACCTACACCACTTCTAACACACCACCACCTCTAATACCTTTCCCAACACAAACACCACCTTCATATCCAACCTCCTCATCCACCACCACCACTACCATTTCTACCATGTCAACCTCCTTCACAACCTTCATCTCCTCTAACACCTTCATCTCCTCTACCACCACCATCTCCATTATTACCTCCATTACCATCACCACCCCTACCAGCTCCACCTCCTCTACAGCCTCCACCTCCATCACCATCTCTACCACCATTACCACCTTTACTTCCACCCCTCCCTCTATCTTGTCCACTACCACCAACACCTCCACAACCACCAACATCTCAACCTCCACCACCACCATCACCATCTCCACCACTTCTATCACCAACACCTCCACCAACTCGATTACCACCATTTCTACCACCTCTACCAATACCACCTCCTCCACTACTTTCATCACCTCCACTGCTATTACCCAAACTACTACCTCCTCTCTCACTCCCATTATCTCCATAACTACTACCAAAACCACCACCACCTCCACCACTACCTCAACTATCTTCACTACCTGCATCATGTCTACAACCACCCCGTGTCCATCACAATCACCACCAACTCCACCACAACTACCACCACTTCTACCATTAGCACCACATCATTCACCACCTCTACTAGCACCAGTTCCATCATCTCCACCACCACTACCTCCATAATTGTATCCTCTAATACCACCTTCACCACCTCCAACACTTACACCAACACTACCTGCATCACCATTGCCACATCTACCACCGCCACCACTACCATCTCTACCACCTCAACCTTCATAACATCCACTTTGTGGATGGTAGCATCTTCATCTCTACCACCACCACTTCCATCACCACCTCCATCACCCCAACTACCTCCACTTCCTCTTACATGTTCACTTTCTCTACCACCACCAACTCCATTAACGTTTCCATCATCTCCACCTCTATCACTACCTCAACCTCCTCTACCACCACCACCTCAAACTGCACCTCCACCACTACCACCCTCTCTACCATCTCCACCACTTCCACCACCACCACCTCCAACTGCACCTCCTCCACATATGCATTACCATCACCTCCACCACCTCCAAAGCTACCATCCTGACCACCTCCACCTCCTCTTACACTTTCACGTTCTCTGTCATCACCAATTCCATCAACATTTCCACCATCTCCACTTCCTTCACCACCTCCATCTCCTCTACCACCAGCACTATCGCCACCACCATCACCGCTACCACCACCAACACATCCACCACTACCACTAGCACCGCCTCTAACAGTACAAACCTCCACAAATGCATCATCATCACTTCCACCTCCTGCACTGCCTCCACTTCCTCTATCAATTCAACTGCCTCTACCACCACCACCACCACCAAAACTTTCACCATCACCATCACCTTCTCCACCCCAATACCTCCACAACTACCATGTGCACCACACCCAGCACCATGTTTACCACCATGACCACCACCTTCACCACCACTTCAGCCACCTCTTTTGCTACCTCTGCCACCACCTACACACATTGTCCATCCTATCGCAATCTTGAATTATTATGTAAACTAAAAGTGACCTTTTATCAAACAAAACTTAAAACACACAAACAGCAGAATACAAGATAGATGTCTGGGACATCCTAAAAATTAGACACTAATGTGCATCAAAAGATTTTATCAAAAGAGAACACACAGACTGTGAAAAAGGTTTTTGGCAATGGCATATCAAATAAGGGACTACTGTCTAAAATTTATAGAACAGTTCAGCACCTCAGTAAGAAGCAGACAAATATTCCAATTGAAAAATGGGCAGAGGACATGAACAGACACTTCACAAAAGAAGACATTCAGGCTGCTAACAAACATATGAAGAAATAAATGCCCATGGATCACTAGCCATTAGAGAGATTCAAATCAAAACAACAATGAGATATCATTTTACCACAGCAAAAAACCAAAACAAATTCTGGAGAGAGTGTGGAGATTATGGGACCCTTGTACACTGCTGGGGGTGACTGAAAAATGGTACAACTACTGTGGAAAATCATATAGCACTTTCTCAGAAAGCTGGATATAGAAATATTGTATGACCCAGCAATTTCTCTACTTGGTATATATCCTCACAAAATAAGAGCCACAACATGAATAGATATATGTACACACATGTTTGTTGCTGCATTATTCACAATAGCAAGAAGGAGACTGCCTAGATGCTCATCAGCCAAGGAATGGTTGGAGAAATTTTGGTACATACAAACAATGGAATTTTATGCAACTTTTAGAAATAATGATAAATCTGCAAAACACTGTATACCATAGAGGAACATGGAAGACATTATGCTTAGTGAAATTAATCAGTCACAAAAGGACAGATATTGTATGAGACCATTACTGTAAAAAGTCAAGGAAAGGTTTTCCCTCTATAATCAGTATTCTACAATGGTTATCAGGAGTGGGAAGGAAGGGAGAATTATTCACTAGGGCATATAGACACATGCTAACTTGGATGATAGGAAAGGCAGTTTAAAAAAAAGGAAAAAAAAAGGAAAGTTTTTTTTTTTTTTCCATGTCCTAGAAGAGAGCAATATACATTTACTTTCTCATTAGGACAAATCATTGGGAATTTTTTAACAAATAAAAAAGGGAAAGGAAAAAAGGGGAGTAAACGGGAGGGAGAAAAAAACATTTGTTGGGATGACAAATGTTTTATTGTATATCTATATTGTTACAATTTTAAAAAGATACTTCAAAAGTCAAATCAGGTGTAAATGGTAAATTGGGAAGGGTAACTGACACCACTGCCCTGTGCCCCAGAACTATGCTGCATCTTGTTACTCTTTTTGGAACATCATTGAAATTCAGTATTGAAGGACATATTGTATAAACTGATTTGTAAGATGTGGTAGTTGTTGTTAAGTACCATTGAGTCAGTTCGGACTCATAGCCACACTACATAGTGTTTCTAAGGTTTTATATCTTCTGTGGGAGCAGAAAGCCTCATCTTTCTCCTGAGAAGCAGCTGATGGGTTTGAACCACTGACATTGTGGTCTGCAGTCCATTGTTTAACCTCTGGGCAAATTCATGGAGGCACAAAGTAGAATAGTGGTTACCAGGTGATAAGGGAGAGAAAAAGTGGAAGTTATTATGGAGATGGTGTTGGTGAGGCAAAGGATCTATCTCCATTTGGGGTAGTAAAAATGTTCTAGAACTAGATAGCGGTAATGGTTATAGAGAGATCCTGGTGTGGCACTAAAGTAAGCACTGGACTGCTAACCACAATGTTGGTAGTTCAAACCCACGATTACTCCTTGGAAACCCTATATATTGTTATTGTTGTTAGGTGCCATCAAGTCAGTGCCAACTCATAGCGACCCTATGCACAACAGAATGAAACACTGCCTGGTCCTGGGCCAACCTCACAATTGTTGCTACACTTGAGCCCATTGATGTTGCCATATTGCCTATCCATCTCTATGGGAATCTTCCTCTTTTTCTCTGACTCTCCACCCTACCAAGCATGATATCACTCTCCAGCAACTGCTCCCTCCTGACAACATGTATAAGAGATGAAGTATGAGAGATGAAGTTGGCCATCCTGGCCTCCAAGGAGCACCTCTGGCTGCACTTCTTCCAACACAGATCTGGTTGTTCTTTTGGAAGCTCATGGTACTTTCAATATTCCAACACCATAACTCAAAAGCATCAATTATTCTACACTCTTCCTTATTCAATGTCCAGCTTTCACATGTATATGAGGTTATTGAAAATACCAGGTTAGGCGCACCTTAGTCCTCAAGCTGACATCTTTGCTCTTCAACACTTGAAAAACTTCTTGTGCAGCAGATTTGCCTAATTCAATACATCATTTGATTTCTTTACTGCTGCTTCCATGAATGTTGATGGTAGATTCAAGAAGAATGTACACCTTGACAGCTTCAATCTTTTCTTCGTTGATAAGAATGCTGTTTACTGGTCCAGTGGTGAGGATTTTTGTTTTCTTTACATTGAGATGTAATCCATACTGAAGTATTTGATCTTTATCAGTAAGTATTTTAAGTCCGCTTCACTTTCAGCAAGCAAGGTTGTATCATCTGCAATATC